CTGTTAAGGTCACCCTTTTTTTTTTATGGTTACCTGGGGGCTTTTGTCACCTGTCCCCTTTGAACCTAGTATAAAGCTCTCCTTACTAGATTGGCAAGTCAGTGAGCAAAGATGCACTTCCCTTTCTTGGTCAGGTAGACTCAGGGCTGGCCTTACCATGAGGCAAACTGAGGCAGCCACCTCAGTTGCCAGACTGTGGGAGGTGGGGGGCGCCACTAGGACCCAGAGTGTAGAAAAGTGTGTCTGCTGCTGGTGCATATGTATTCTCTCTGCTCTAGATGCACAGAGATGGTGGAGTGCTGTGCTGGAGGAAGGAGGGCACAAGACACATAGCAGGCAGGCAGGAGAAAAGGTGAGAGGAAACAACAGAAAGCAGCAGGAACCGCAGGGAGAGAGAGGAGGAGGAGCCTCTTATGTACCTCTCTAGCACCCCCAGGAGCCTGGACTGATTAACCCCAGCTTCGCAGGGAGCTTCCTGTTTCCTGCTGCTTCCCTGGACCCACTTGAGGAGAACAGGCAGTCCACTGAAGTAGTAGGAGCCAGTTAGGCCCTTAAGATGCTGATATCTTCCCTCACTCAGGCCCTGCTACCAGCCTGCTTATTTGTCCCCTTCAACTGAGTGCTGAGAGTCACTACAGCTGGCACAGAAAAGCAGTCATGAGTGAAAGAAGAAAACGCCCTTCTGGGGCAGCATTCAGAAAAAGAAAGAAAGCAAAGGAAGCTTTTCTATCTAAGCAGGAAGGAGCTCTCCTGAGATACATAGACACCAATGTTCACGGTGAGCCTTCCGGCCCCAGTGAGGATGTGAGTGGTGAGAAGATGCCTGTTCTTCCAGTTAGCCAGAGTGCAGGTGACCTGGCAGCTACTGCAGCATCCATATCTCCATCTCAAAGGGATTTAACCATGCACATTCCCGAAGAAAACTGTAGATCAGAGAAGAGTGTGGTGGAGGCATAAGAAACAGTTCTGCTGAGTTTAGTTCCTTAAAAGTCTAGATGATCCAGGACTGTGGACCCACTTGAGCAGTAGCCCGAGGGACTTCCTTGTACTGCATGGGCTACAGCAAGTGAAAAACTTCATGTTCCCCAAAGACAATGAAAATAGAAGTTTCCATACAACACATTACTGGCGTGAAATCCCCAGTGGTGACAAAGTGGAGAGGCCATGGCTTATGTACTCAAAAACCCAGAATGCTGCATACTGTTTTTGTTGCAAACTCTTCCAATCTAATGTTCCAGCCACATTGGGTTCTACAGGAACAAAGGACTGGAAAAATCTGACTAGAAATCTGGCATGCCATGAGACGGCAGCAAATCACGAGAGAGCATTCCATAGGTGGAAAGAGGTTGAGATGAGACTAAGGTTAAAGGCCACCATAGATGATCAGCATCAAGAGAAGATTGCATCAGAGCCTCTTTACTGGCAAAATGTTCTGAAAAAGGCTTGTTGCCTTGGTGAGAATGCTTGCTACCCCAAACCTAGCACTGCGTGGCACTTCAGATCAGCTGTATGTGCCAAACAATGGAAACTTCCTTAAAATTGTGGAGCTGATGGCTGAGTTTGATACTGTACTCCAGGAGCATCTAAGAAGAGTGACCACCCAAGAAATGTACACACACCACTACCTTGGAAAAACAGTTCAAAATGAGATCATACAGTTACTGGCAACAAAAGTCAAACAGAAGATTGTGGCAGATCTGAAGTCAGCAGGATATTAGTCTGTTATTCTGGACTGCACACCTGACATCTGCCATATAGAACAAATGACTTTAATGGTGTGTTTTGTAACCACAACAGAACCCAGTGAAAATGTCCCTGCAATGGTGACTGTCAGAGAGCATTTTCTAGAATTTGTTGACATTGATGATACTACAGGAGCTGGTATGACAAATGTGTTTCTTAAAAAGCTGGAAGATACGGGAACTGTGACAGCTGACATGAGAGGTCAGGGCTACGATAACGGTGCCAACATGAGAGGAAAGAATGGAGGAGTGCAGACACGGATCCGAGAGTTAAACCCTCGAGGTCTTTTTGTCCCATGCAGTTCTCATTCACTGAACTTGGTGATCAGTGATGCAGCATCAGCTTCTACTGAGGCTGCAGAATTTTTTAATGTAATTCAAAGCATCTATGTATTTTTCTCTGCATCAACTCGTCAATGGCAAATTTTGAAGCAACATCTGGGAACATTCTCTCTGACACTGAAACCACTGAGTGCCACACGATGGGAAAGTTGATAAAGCCTATCAAACACCAAATTGGGAAGATAGATGATGCCATAGTTGCCATTATGGAGGATAATGCTATGACAGCAAAATAGTTTTACTTTCCCCTCCTACTGTCCTTGTAAACTGCTGGAAATGGCCCACCTTGATTATCATTACAAAAGGTTCTCTCTTGCCCCCTCCCCCCACCCCGCTTTCCTGCTGGTAATAGCTCACCTTTCCTGATCACTCTTGTTACAGTCTGTACGGTAACACCCATTGTTTCATGTTCTCTGTGTATATAAAATCTCCCCACTATATTTTCCACTGTATGCATCTGATGAAGTGAGCTGTACCTCATGAAAGCTCATGCTCTAATAAATTTGTTAGTCTCTAAGGTGCCACAAGTACTCCTTTTCTTTTAGCATTTTTAGTGGCTATTACATCAGCCACGAGAGTGTCTGGGATGCAAACGCTATTGGCAGAACGTCCATTTGCTATTTTTCACAAGGATAAAATCTCTTTGAGGCCATATGCCAAATTTATGTCAAAAGTAATTTCAGACTTTCATGTGAACCACACTGTTCATTTGCTGCTGTTTTTGTTTGTTTGTTTTTTAGCTTCATGCTAACACAGGTGAGGAGAGTTTACACCCTTTCTATGTCCATAGAACCAAACCATTTAGAGTCTCTCCTAGACCTTGTGTGACCATCCCAGAAAAACTAAATGGGTGACCATTCTCAGTATCGAGATTATTGCATTGGATATCTTGCATAAGATCCTATTATATCTGTCAGTTCATAAATCTTCCAAATAAGATAAGGATTCAGGTAATCTTGAGAGCCCTTCTAAGCAACATTCTGACTGTGGACATCTGAAAGACAGCCATGTGGTCATCTGTTCTCCAGTGTCATCGCTCCAACTTCATGAGTGTAGTGAGGCAGAATGGCCTCCCTCCAAACTGGAGTATGAGGGACCACTACACGTCCCTAAGTGGGAGGAGCCAAACCTGTCCTGCCCCCCTCACCGGAGATACCAGGGCAGGACATGAAGTAGAAAGGGAGAACCCTGGAGCTCAGTTGCTGCTGAGCCACAGGAGAGAGCTTTCAGAGTAACAGACATGTTAGTCTGTATTCGCAAAAAGAAAAGGAGTACTTGTGGCACCTTAGAGACTAATGAAGTGAGCTGTAGCTCACGAAAGCTTATGCTCAAATAAACAGGAGACAGCGAACATCTTTTCTAGGGAGCAGACATCTCTGCAAGAGCTTGGCCCAGACCCAGAGTGGATGGATACCTTGCCATCAGTGGAAGCAGATGAAGACCCTGACGAGCTGCTGGAGTGACCAGTGGCCAAATACCCAGAGGAGACCGGGGATCTTTGGACCATGGGACTCTACACCCAAACTGTTGTAGGAAATAGCCCAGGGGAAACAGACTCTAGTCCGGTTCTGTAGGGTTACCATACGTCCGTATTTTCCCGGACATGTCCGGCTTTTTTGGTTCTTAAAATTGCAGTCCTGGAGGAATTTTTAAATATCTAAAAACATCTGGGATTTTGCCATTATTATTTTTCCCCGAAGAAGAGTTGATCATTCAAGAAAGAGAGTGAATGTTGATCATTCTAGAAAGAAAATGAATATTGATCACTTGAGAGAGTGCCTGCTTTTTCTCCCTAGCTCCCAGCACTTGTGCTGCGAAACAGCTGTTTCATGTGGCTGGGAAGGGGGGGAAGGAGGGGGAATGTGGCGCGGCTCAGGGGAGGAGGCGGGGCCGGGGTGGGGATTTGGGGAAGGGGTTGGAATGGGGGCGGGGAAGGGATGGAGTTCGGGCGGGGTCAGGGCCAGGGGGCAAGAGCAAATCCCCCCCCCACCCCGGTGGAGTGTCCTCTTTTTTGAATGTTCAAATATGGTAACCCTAGGTTCTGCTACCAGAGTGTGAGTCAGCATGTTGCAGATGGATTCCCTGCTGACCCAGTGACAGATCACTTTGCCACTGTTAGGGCCTTGGCTGGGACATGGTGGAGTCAGGCGGGCCTGCATCCCCCTATCCCCTGCCATCTCACCCCTGGGGTAGCAACCTCCCCACCATAGGCCAGGAAATCTGTATTGGTGCTTACTCCCTGCCTGAGCCCCTAGACTGCTTCGGTGCTCACGAAGTCTTGCTTACTCCCTGCAAGAGCCCTAACTGTTTGCCACCTAACCCTGGTTGGGGGCCTGGGCTTAGAGTGCTACATCTCTGCCTTGAAACAGGCCAGAGCCCTAACTGTTTGTGCCTCTGCCTCATCCAGAGGGAGCCAGAGCCCATCTACAGACTGTTTGTAGCTGTCTGCCCCAGCCAGGTGGCTGTTGGCTAAAGACTGTTTGTGGCTCTGGCCTGCCCAGAGGGACAGAGCTCCCTGCTGGACTGCTGATTATAGGCTGTTAATTACTGTCTGCCCCAGCCTGGTGGCTGTGGTCTAAAGACTGTCATGCTTCACCCCATCCAGGGGGCTGGAGCTCTCCCCTAAAAGACTGTTATTTGCGGTTTGCCAGTAGTGAGGCAGAGTGGCTTCCCTCCCTACTCGAGAGTGAGGGACCACTACAACCAGCCAATGTGGACTTCAGCAAGTCTGTACTTCATTCCCTGTTCCCACTTCCTGCAAGAAATCCACTAGTGAGCCGCCTACAGTAAAATGTATATTTGCACAATCACTAGTAGGAGAAAAAATGGTTAATTGCCTTTACAGTAACTGTTGTATTTTGAGATGTTGTGTACATAAACATTCCTATGACCTCGCTTTCTTCCCTACTTTGGAAGTGTCGTCATCTTCCTGGTGCAAAGGAAATGAGAGGGAGTCGGAGCAGCCCTGCCCTTTATGCCCTCAGCTACAAGGACAAAGACGTGGCAGGTGCATGCCCCGCCCTGTCAGAATTCTCCTACTCAAGTGCACTGGGCGCATAGACACCTGCAGTGGAATATATGTGTCCAAAATACATCCTGAAGAACAGCAGTTACTGGAGAGGTAAGTAACTGTTGTTTTTGTTGGTTTGTTTCCTGAACTCTTCAGGGTAGCTATGTCAGTTATGACACTAGGTAACACAGATAAATAATTTGTATAAAATACAGAAAAAGGTATTAATTCTGTTCTAAAGGACACATAGCAAGGCTGTGCATGCAAGACTTGCAAGAGCTCTCTCATATACACACACAGTCACACACGTATTACGTACATGTGTATCCATCCCCTTCCTTCTCCTCCTTCCCAGAACAATTAAGCATACATTCAAACCAAATTGTATACTGTTTAAAAGACAAACCATCCAGAACATACATTCAGACTAGTTTTATATTATTTTGTAGATAAATCACCCACACAAACACATTCATATCTGTTTTTCAGTATTAAATTATGTAAAACACAAATGCGTGCACACACAGCCTAACCTAAAGGAAATCTAATGGGGTAATGGATAATACACACAAGCAGGAGACAAAATGCAAGCCTAGTTTAAAACATTCTATATAAAAGAATCTTTAACATTTTACATCTGTTTCAACAAACAATGTCCTTTTTGTTCAAGTAAAACTGTAAGGTTTCAGCATTTAAGGTATAGATGGAATGTAATTTATTAAAATGATTAAACTTGGCTTTAACAAATAAAATTAAAACAGCAATGAAGTAGTAAGGGAACCTGTATTTTTAGTATTTGGGAGGCAGTAGATACAAACAAAATGTTCTTAAGACTCAATATATCTAATGTGCTTTAGTGGTAAATATTTTGCATTAACAACTATTTTTTGCCCATTGAATGAATAGAAAAAAGAAATTAAAAATAATCCAACACATTTACACACACAAATCCACACAGAGTAACCCAGAGCAACTTTTAAAGGAAACATGAAAAAACAAAAAGAAAAGGAGTACTTGTGGCACCTTAGAGACGAACCAATTTATTTGAGCATAAGCTTTCGTGAGCTACAGCTCACTTCATCGGATTCATTTTTGCGAATACAGATTAACACAGCTGCTACTCTGAAACATGAAAAAACAAGACAATGCAGATTAGAGATTTGGTCTGGATTTGAGAGGAATCTTTGGTAGTTGTCTGTTTAGCATGGGTAAACAGACAGCTCTCCCAAACCTGAGGCAACATATTCCTCTGATGCCCCTTTGTTTTTCCAACTGTCTACTCAGTTTCTCAGAGGGGTGACACCTACAAAGGCATCAGGAGGATTTAGCATACATACCAGAGCCAAATGGTGAGATGGGTCATTTCTGACTAAGATGAAAAACCTTGTAATACAACAAAAATGCTTCTCTTTATATGCTTAGTGGTATTTTAGAGAAGTACGTCAAAAGCAACAACTGTTGTTTCGTAGTAACCTAAGGCATAAGTTGGCCCCTAAAAGAACAGCAGTAATTAAACACGAAACCTACAAGAATGGTAAGGTGCAAGCCAATGTCAGCATTGTATAGCTACTCCAGTCCAAAACTGCAAGCCCAGACATTTTTTTCAATGGCTAAAAATGTCATGTGAGAATCAAAATGCATCAACATCCTTACATTTGTAGCAATAGTTTATAGAGTGGTCTGCAAAATAATTATTTTTTCCATTTTATTTATCATCCAATTGAAGAGGTCCCAGAGAATTAATTTTTCTGCAGTTTATATAAAACTTTACAGTGTATAGTGCCTTTAAAACTGTAACATCTAACACCCCCCCACCCCCCCAAAAATTTTAATATTGTCTTAACCAAAGAGGTCTTGTGAATAAAAATTGCTGGACAATGTTTCAAAGAGCTATTGTTATCTCAACTTTAAAAAAAAAGAAAAGAAAAAAGGTTAGCTTATTTTTAGAGCTTTGTCTAAATAAATCGCCCAGCATGCAAAAAACACGAATCAAGAAAAACTTCTCTAAATGCAATTTACAAAGATAGGCCAAAACTGTGTAGTAGGCTCATCATCTGAAGATTTTAAAGAACGTTTCAGATACGAGAGTGCAATATAAAACCCCTCATTTACAGAGACATTTTACAAAAAAAAAAAAAATTTAACAGAGAAGCCATAGCTTTGTAGCTTCATGTAGAGAGCGAAGCTGTTGGGCCCAGCACTGTTATCTGAAGAGGGATGAACTCTTACATCCACTCCATACACCCCTCCCCTCTTTTCCTGAGTTGTTTTTCTAAAACTGCATCTTCTCCACATCCTACTGATGAACAGACCGCTTTTAATCAAAGATCCAGTGACATAAGAAAGGACATCTGTCAAGGTTCCTCCCCCACTCTGAACTCTAGGGTACAGATGTGGGGACCTGCATGAAAAACCTCCTAAGCTTATCTTTACCAGCTTAGGTCAAAACTTCCCCAAGGTACAAAATATTCCACCTGTGGTCCTTGGATTGGCCGCTACCACCACCAAACTAATACTGGTTACTGGGGAAGAGCTGTTTGGACGCGTCTTTCCCCCCAAAATACTTCCCAAAACCTTGCACCCCACTTCCTGGACAAGGTTTGGTAAAAAGCCTCACCAATTTGCCTAGGTGACTACAGACTCAGACCCTTGGATCTTAAGAACAATGAACAATCCTCACAACACTTGCACCCCCCCTTTCCTGGGAAATGTTGGATAAAAAGCCTCACCAATTTGCATAGGTGACCACAGACCCAAACCCTTGGATCTGAGAACAATGAAAAAGCATTCAGTTTTCTTACAAGAAGACTTTTAATAAAAATAGAAGTAAATAGAAATAAAGAAATCCCCCCTGTAAAATCAGGATGGTAGATATCTTACAGGGTAATTAGATTCAAAACATAGAGAACCCCTCTAGGCAAAACCTTAAGTTACAAAAAAGATACACAGACAGAAATAGTTATTCTATTCAGCACAATTCTTTTCTCAGCCATTTAAAGAAATCATAATCTAACACATACCTAGCTAGATTACTTACTAAAAGTTCTAAGGTTTCAGAGGAACAGCCGTGTTAGTCTGTATTCGCAAAAAGAAAAGGAGTACTTGTGGCACCTTAGAGACTAACCAATTTATTTGAGCATGAGCTTTCGTGAGCTACAGCTCACTTCATCAGATGTATACCGTGGAAACTGCAGCAGACTTTATATATACACACAGAATATGAAACAATACCTCCTCCCACCCCACTGTCCTGCTGGTAATAGCTTATCTAAAGTGATCAACAGGTGGGCCATTTCCAGCACAAATCCAGGTTTTCTCACCCTCCACCCCCCCACACAAATTCACTCTCCTGCTGGTGCTAGCCCATCCAAAGTGACAACTCTGGTAAGCTATTACCAGCAGGACAGTGGGGTGGGAGGAGGTATTGTTTCATATTCTGTGTGTGTATATAAAGTCTGCTGCAGTTTCCACGGTATATATCTGATGAAGTGAGCTGTAGCTCACGAAAGCTCATGCTCAAATAAATTGGTTAGTCTCTAAGGTGCCACAAGTACTCCTTTTCTAAAAGTTCTAAGACTCCATTCCTGGTCTATCCCCGGCAGAAAAACCACAGCATATAGACAGCCACACAGACCCTTTGTTTCTCTCCCTCCTCCCAGCTTTTGAAAGTATCTTATCTCCTCATTGGTCATTTTGGTCAGGTGCCAGCGAGGTTACCTTTAGCTTCTTAACCCTTTACAGGTGAGAGGAGCTTTCCCCTGGCCAGGAGGGTTTTCAAAGGGGTTTACCCTTCCCTTTATATTTATGACAACATCAAACAAGGTTTTAAAAAATAAACTGTCATAAACTTTTCAACGTTTAACGTGAAAAAACAGGGCATAGAAATAAGAGAGCTGGCCTGAATTTTAGTGAAAACTTTGACAACTGATAAATCTTAATTTTAGTGAAACAGCTTTGTGTCCATTCTTTGTGAGCTCTCATGCTTTCGCATGGCCGAGAGTTTGTCAAACAAACCCTCCACAGTTTTATGAAGCATTATTTCCCCCCATTGGTTTGCCTAACTTTCTAATAATTTTTCAGGAGGGCCTCAGAAAGAGTAAGTAACTAACATTAACAGAAGCATTAGGAGGATTACATACTTGGTGATGTTCTGTAGCGGTACCTGCAAAGCAACAACCACATTGTTTGTTTGTTTCTTTTACCATCACATGGATGGGGCCCTGAAGAATTAATTTTCCTCTCCTTGTATAACACTTTTACACACGCTGTAACCATAGATACTTTACGGTGGTCAATAATACAAGGCAATAGATGACAGACCTGACAAACTGCGGAAAACAGTGGCCCACCACCCGTATACCTAAAGTACTCCTGAGCCACAGACCTCCCCCATTTTCAACAAATTTCCTCTTACATCGGCCCCTCTTCCACTTCAACTATGCCTTTTAATTTTTTAAGATTAAAATTTCATCCTTGGTGTTGCATAACAGATTTATTTCGTATTTGATGTACATCATTTTATGATGGAAAAACAGCTGACAGTTCTTTAAAAATATGGTAAAAGATATCCTGTACTCAAACTGCTTGATTACAAGTAGCCAATGACGGCAGTCTTCGAAAGCCGCATGATCAGTTTACATTGCCAATTTGTGTAGCGCATGGAATATATACAAGTGACTTGGCTGAAGTTCAACCAGGAAAAGGGAACGCTTTCTCTCTTCAAGACTGCTCTGCAACTGGTATGTGCATATTTCTTTGAGTTTGGCAAAGCTCAGTATATTAAAACTTTCAAGAGCTATCAGCTACTTAGATGGCTATTTCTGGGAAGGGAAGTTAGTAAAAAATGAGAATGTTTTGTTTTCTGCTCAACAAACCAATTAAGGCAAAATGAAATATGCTGTAAATCCTAATAACAGGTATTTGACAAAATTATGCACCCAGGGTGGGTAGCAGAAAGTCATTTTTGTTTGTTTTTTTGCCTGCCACCGTTCAGACTGTATGAATGCATCAAAGTCGATATTTCTCAGACAGTTGGAGGCTGATTTTACGGAAAAATGAACTTTGCTACAGTTTAAATTTGACTACCTATATTTCAAAATGACCAGTGGAGACAAAATACATCTTACTAATGGTATTGGGGTTGTGAAACATTTTTCAGAAAGATTCAAGGTTCTTTCTATCCTATGTGCTTTGATATTATTATCCATGTTTTAAGAGAAGGCATATGTCGCTTGCTGTTTTCAGCATGCTCTATCCTCCTTCACCTATTTTCTGCCCTCTTGAAAGATGCAATGATCTCTTCACCCGCAATCTTGTTCGGTCACCGAGATGTGTAAAGTACCAGTAATGGCAGAGTGCCAACTTTGCAATACCTCTTAGTGAAGAGAGGAGAAGGCATGTGAATGGACCTGTAGCTTAAGTGACATGGAAACTGTATATGGGGCAGTATACGCATCTTGTAAGAGTCAGCATAATGAAGGCCTGATTTTATGTTTATGGTGTGTGTTTGATACTTTTATTATTTTCTACCCATGCAGTTAATATGTGAACAATAGGTCAGAATTTTGCCCACAGTGTTTTCACTGGAAGTGGTCTGTCATGTTTCTGATCTGCAAGAAGGAAGCAATGTTATTAAAATCATAGTCAGACTGGAGGCCCTTTGTTCTTCAAAGACCTATTGTTCAATTATCAGGAAGAAAGTGAGGTTTTATTTTTACAGCTTGATAACTATTTATTTTAGAAACAAGAAACACACAGGCTTGCTTTTAACTGTTAGCACTTGCAGATTAGTGAGGCAATCAGTAATGAGTTTCTGTTGACATTTCAATGTCCCCAATACCTGTGAATCATACAACATATAAAAAGATGATTGGCTAAATGAGGGTTTCACAGTCATATATCTGCTGCTTACTGAAAATGGATCTTGAACACAATTTATTGCCCTGTTCTCATATCACATCTTTTATTGTGGTATAATTAAGATACTTCTCTAATAAAACATTATGGAAATAAGGAAGCCCTTTACTGAAGGAAATTTCACCTAGTGCGTAGGACACCAGATGTTGATGTAGGTTCAAACACCAGGAATCATGTTACCAAGGGGCAAGGGGTGTTGCCAAGCAAATTACAGTTGTGCAAGTAACGGCAAAGTCCTGTCTTTGGAGAACTAAGAGTGCTGCCACATGTGGAACAAGGAAAAAATGAAAACAGAATAATATAAATGTATCTTCATCCCAATCCTGTTGTTATTTAATATATTTGTATCACATCAGTACCAGGATCCTCAGGGTACATCTACACTGGAATTCTGTGAGCAGATGTGATCACCCTGTCTCAAAAAAGATATATTGGAATTGGAACAGGTTCAGAAAAGGGCAACAAAAATAATTCGGGGTATGGAATAGCTTCCATATGAAGAGAGATTAATAAGACTGGGACTTTTCAGCTTGGAAAAGAGATGACTAAGGGGGGATATGATGGAGGTCTATAAAATCATGACTGGTGTGGAGAAAGTAAATAAGGAAGTGTTACTTACGCCTTCTCATAGCACAAGAACTTGGGGGTCACCAAATGAAATTAATAGGCAGCAGGTTTAAAACAAACAAAAGGAAGCATTTCTTCACCGCAACGCACAGTCAACCTGTAGAATTCTTTGCCAGAGGATGTTGTGAAGGCCAAGACTAACAGAGTTAAAAAAAAGAACTAGATAAATTCATGGCTATTAGCCAGGATGGGCAGGAATGGTGTCCCTAGCCTCTGTTTGCCAGAAGCTGGGAATGGGCAACAGGAGAAGGACCACTTGATGATTACCTGTTCTGTTCATTCCTTCTGGGGCGCCTGGCATTGGCCACTGTTGGAGGACAGAATACTGGGCTAGACAGACCTTTGGTCTGACCCCATATGTCCATTCTTATGTGCTTCTCTCCCCTGTTGCGGAGTGAAAAATTCAGAAAATAACAAGGGAAAGTGAGTGAGTGACTGTACAGGGGAAACAGTAAAACTGGCTGCAGTTAGATGTACAAAGTAAACAAATTGAGAAATCAGAAAAATGTTTTCTTTAATCTTTCACTGATAATCATCTTAGATGTTACATATAACAATAGTAGCTGAAACATTTTCAGACTTCAGTGATTTTTTTTTAAGGTGATGGGTGCCTTTGACAGCTATATTTTCAATATGTACTAATGTACACTGTTGTTTCAAAATGTCTGAAAGCTGTTTGTTGGTGCCAGAGTAATTCCTGATTTTAGTCAGACCACCACTGAACTCAAAAGAAGTTTGCCTGAGTAAATGACATCTCAGAATTTTGTTGGCTGCAGCAGGAAAATCCTGGTTCTTGGAGCTAATCTGCCTCTTTGCGAACAGCAGGAAGAGCGAGAGTTCCATTTCTGCAATAACCTCCATAGTATTTGTGTTGTGATGGTCTCGGATCACACGGAACGGATGACCAGAGTAGGCCAGGACTCACATGGGTGATGACCAGGGAACCGTTAGGTGTTGCTGGAAGATACGTTGGCCATTAGTTAGTGGCACCCTTTCCTTTGAATCAGGACTGAACTATGCCCCAATGTGATGTTAGGGAGAGATGGGCTTTTTGGATGAAAATGTACACCTATTCATAATCTGGACAGAAGAAACTGGGCCAAATTAATTCGTGGTCTATCTCTGTCGACAACAATTTGGCCAGTTATCCAGTGGATAGCATTGCTTCCAATGAAGTGAGAAACATGCCATTTCACAAAGAGATGTGGGTAACATTCCTCTAATTACATCACCACAATGACATTAGACACCCTGACTATTTGTGACACAGCTAGTCCCTAACAGACTATTTCAAACCATTCCTTTTATTGTTTTCCTTTCAGAAATTAAACTTCTGAACTCATCTTGTGAAACTAAAAATGAATTCTCAACCTGTCATCTTTGTACAGCCCCAATTTTCTGTGGCTACTGCACAAAGTAATGTCTGGCAGACCGGGTTGATGGATTGCTGCAGTGACTGTGGAGTCTGTAAGTGGATAGTCAAATATTGTATTTTTGTTTGGGTTTGAGGTGTCTTGATGTTTGGCTTAATATTATATCTCCAGTCTTTTAGTGGGTTTGACTTTAAATTGGGAGAATCCAATTTGTCTATTTTATATTTATTTATAGGAGTGGCTTGTAGTTGGATTTCCCATATCCACTCTGAGAGCCAGTGACTAGGTGGCTACATCACCCACTCACACACAAAGCAAGGTGTTGCTAAGTGTAGAAGGCTGGAATGTCAGTGCCTGGGTAAGGTTGCTCAGTGCTTCTGTCCTGGGAGAGCCATACTCGCAGTGCAGCCTGCTAATTCAGCAGGCCACGATGTTACTCAAAAAGAAAGACCACGGGCTTGGTTTGGGGACAAAGGCACTCGGCCAGGTTTATTGCCGTCTGGTCACAATACTAGCATCCCATAGGAGCTACAGATACATTAACACAAGTGCCCAGTGGCAAGGAGCAGCTCAGTCAGCAGTGGGAATTTCTGCCGTCCCCTGCCATTTATAGACTGAGACAAACAACTGGGATAAACAACTTACATTCCAGCCTACGTGTTTCATGACCTCTGTTACTTCCCCTTGTTCCTGATATCTTGGGCAAAACATCCCTATTCATTATCTTGTACTCGATTGGGATGTATCTGTAGTAGCTGGAATATATTTATGTAAATATCTAGCGCCTAGTGCACTAGCAACAACTTTGCCAAGTTCATGTACTGGTCAGTGAACTTGTAAGCATCTGCACTAATACGTGGTCACAGACCAAAAAAGGAGTGTGTTTACAGCAGAATAACTAACATGGGTTAGCTATCTTGCTGTAAAATCCCAGTGGAGGCAAAGTGCTCATATAGCTTTTAGCAATGTAGCTATGCAAGTGCGACCCTATCTCCCGCACCTGTGGTTCACCTCGCTTAGTTACATCATGGTAAAAACTATAATGCCTCGCCTCCACTGAGACAGCTGAAACATGTGTGTTATCCCACTGTAAACACACACTATTTTTGGCAGTGAAGAAATGGCCTTAAGTCATTATGGGGGGCAAGCTGCCATTCATATGACATCACTATTCCTTCAAAAGTCTTTCAAAGATCTTGGCCTCCTTCGCACTAGCTCTGGCCCATTGGCACATCCATAACTTTCTCCTTCCGATTTTGTAGCGATTTCTACATCTCTCCTAAAAGTGGTGGTGAAAGTTAACTGTCTGCATGAATGAAGGGGAGAACATTGAGTGAGCCTCATTTGTTTGTCTTTATCCAGGCCTATGTGGAGCATTCTGCTTCTATTGTCTTGGATGTCAAGTAGCAAGTGACATGAATGAATGCTACTGTTGTGGCGGAAGCGTTGCCATGAGGACTCTCTACCGGACAAGATACGGAATCCCTGTTAGTTACTATTCAATAATATTTTGTTTTGCTCATGCTCAAAGAACAGCCCTTAAAGCAACATGTCATTGATCTAAGCAGATCAGTTGGCTACATTTTCATTAGCCAGCTTCCACCCAGTGTGATTCCTCCCCATCTGAACACGGCTGCTAGGAGTCTTCCCTTATGATTTGAGGGCACTGTGGTCTAGAAATTAGCGGAGGATTGGTCATTTGAAGACTTCGGTTCTACTTGCAACTGCCACCGACTCACTGTGTAACCTTGCACAAGTCCCTTAGCTCTTCTTCCTTTGTTCTCCCCATCTGTAAAATAGATCATTCCTTTGGTACTGTTGTAAAGCACTTTGAGATAATTTCATGAAAAGTAGAAGTGCAATTATCCGTTATTAATTGATGCCCCTTTAAAGCAGAGATTTGCTACGTACCTGAGATAGAGAACCCCCTCTGATGAGGCATTGGTTACATTTAAATATCCATCTAAATTAAATGTATATTGGATAATTTCTAATGCAGACATTGTACATAATACTAACCTGATAATCAACCGCCATTTAGACCAAACTACTGATCTAAATCTTGGCTCTCACTCCCTCAGCATGAATCTCTTCACCAAGGGTTCTCCTGATGAGCTGAAAAGGTGTTGCAGAATGTAGACAGAATTCTAAATGTGTGGTTCAATCAACAAGGCGGTTGTGTATGTGTTTTTTCAAGCTACAATATTGTAGTTTCTGGAGTTAACCCCTTCTGTGCCAAAGCACAAATAACAGAAAAGCCTAAGAAATGAAAAAACAAGATTAGATAACATATGAAAGTTAAATGAATAGATCACACTGAATTGGGATGTGTTACAAACACAAGAGAGGAATAATATGAAGGGACTGAGGAAGGTTAGAACTATAGCCATGAAATTATAAAACGAGATTCAGCCTAATGTCCCCAGGGGGGAAAAAATTGCAAATGTGTACATGTTCTGTGGGTGGAAAGACATGGAAAGGCATGTCACTGAAATGCTTCAGGGTGATACTGGTCACGAAATTACACGTATGATTACACATTCAATAGAGCAGTAATAACACAAAGCCAAGGAGGTTTAGGAGAGCTATGAAGAAATATTATAAGCTAATTAAAAAAACAAACAAACCTCAGCTTCTATTTAGGCGCTTAAATGAATTGTCCAGATTTTCTAAAGGGCTCAACAGTATCTTCAAAATCTGGCCGCTTCACTTTGGAGCCAAAATATAGGAGCTAAGATCTTTTAAAAATTTGGAGCTATGTCAGAGCAGGAAGGCAAAAGTTTCTCTATCTAGAACATATTTTTCCCTGCTGGATCTTCAATGCAGGATGCAGGTAGGAAGGATGCAGGTAGGAAGGAAATTTGGAAGGAATTGGAAGGAAATTTGGAGCATGGAGGCATTGACCGTTAAGGAAAATTCAGAGCTAAATATGTATAGTTTTTGACAGTTAATAATAGTGGGGGCTAAAACTGCAAAGATCTGAAAGGAATATAGCAGTGTGTTAAGGAGTGGCGCGAGGACTAGCAAAAGGATGAAGTTAAGAAAAGGAAGAGTTTGGCTGAATATTAGACAATACATCCCAGCCCTAATGCAAATCAACTGGACACCAGACTCCCAGTTTACCGGTTGAAAAATCCCACTACTGGAAACATTTAAAAATGGAAACTGGCCAGAATCCCAGAGGTTACTCTATAAGGAACAATCCTGTACAGGTAGGGAGGTGGGCTGACTTGATCTAGCGGAGCTTCCAGTCTAATCTCAGTCTGGTTTCCATCTGCTAAAGCCTGGTTGTTATTGGGTAAACCCCACCCATTAGATAACTCTGCTTCCTAATTAACTTCTTTGGTGCCTAAAGCAGCCCTTTTAAGAGCTACCAGCACCCAGTCTCTCTGCCTCCTACAGAAGGCAACTGGGAACATTTTTCTTTTTTTTGCTCGCTGCAGTAAAAAGCAGGGCTATGGATAACCAAGTAGGGTTTGGTATCTTCTAGTTTCTATGAATTTAGGCCAAATAGTACTTTAGTAACAAGAAAAGGAAAGGATGTTTAAAATGTATTTTCCCCATAATGGCCCTGTCATCCCACTCAAAGGCAGCACAGAAAGCCCATATGCTAGTCTGACTTTAAGTCCAATGTGTGTAAGTCAACAAAAAGTTAGATGTACTTCTTAAAGTTACAGCCTTTAATATTTTTTCTGTTTCAACAGGGATCCATCTGCTCTGATTTCTGCACTATCCTGTGGTGTCCTGTGTGTGCTCTTTGTCAAATAAAGAGAGATATTAACAGAAGGAAGGAAATGGGGATATTCTAGTAAGGTTTGTAAGTGTTTGATAAATCAAGAGGCTTCTCTGATGCAATGTTTCAATTAGTTCTAGGACAAATGGTAGTGGTGACGGAAAAGTTAGTGTAGAACCAAAATGATATGCAATCAGTGAACAGATTTCTATCCAATATAGAGTGGAGTCCTGCTCTACCCGCCCTTTCTGTATCTAAATGAAGTCTTCTTGGGCCCCAGCTGGCCATCTATAATATGGCTTTATCTAAGCAGCATATAAGCCTTTTACTTGACTCTGTATTAAGAGGAGCCACAGTAAGAAGTGGAGTGAGAGTTACCAAGCCAATTTAAAAGGAAATGTATAATCATTTACAATGGGCAAAGTGCCTGGCTGGGAATGCAAGACCACAGGCAGCAAGAACCATCTATTACTGGGGTAGAGCCTTGTTAGTACACCACAGGTGGCAGGCATTCCACACTAGGTGGCACTTGCAATTCTGTAGTGGAATTCCACACAGGAATGCAAAACAAACAGAATATGTCAAACACAAATCGGAAGAGGTGGGTGTGTGCTACAGGGGACCAACATGGCTCAACTGTTGAGTGGACTGTGGCAGGAAGCTAGTTTCCCTTCCAAGAATTAGGCAGCTAGACCTGCTTTAGCAGTGCCCTTGCATTGCAATAGGTGGGGGTGAATAGCCATTCCTTCATCTTCACTGTGTAGTCTCACAGCTGTAAAAGGGATTTGTTTGCTAGGACTTTACTGACTTGTTCAGGATTAGGCTTTTGATGTATCTTTGTGGGATATTACCATGTAGCAGAACTTTACATGATTGCGATTCTTGTGTTTGCACAAAGCTAAATAGTGTCGATTATGGAGAAAGTGTAGTTCCTGGGTGGCATTTTCAAAAGCACCCAGTGCTGACCTAAATCTTTTTTCCATTAATACTCAGAGTCAAATCCTGTCCTCATACCACTCCATGTTCCTTGATTTGAGGCAGATTCATTAAAATACACAGCTATGCACTATATATAAGCAATAATGAGTCTTATATTGTGTAAGTAAATTTCAAGGCAGTGTATTAACAAAACTAATGGTATTATTAATCTCAGCCATGAATGTAACTCTTTTCTCCCCTATTTTAGATGTTCCTATATTCATTGGTTGTGAGTCCTATAATTTCCATAAGCAAGAGTCTCCTCATTTCCTGCTGCACTTACTGTTCAAGAAAGTGCTGTATGCATTTTAATTTGATTGTTGGAAAGCACTACTTATCTGAAATAAAGTAAAGTAACAACCTCAAATTTGTCTTTGTCTCTCTTATTGTGCATGTGTGTGGAGAAGCAGTTGCGAAAGTTAAGTTTTATTGCATGTACTAAGCTGTCTTGGAAAGAGTATTCTCCTGTTCCCAATAACTAGCTCATGCTAGTTTGTTCATGGTATGATCATTTCACTGGTTCTGCTTCCATCCTCCCAGAACATAAGAGAAAATAAACTCTGATTGTTAACTTATTTTCCTGCTCTCTGAATTGTAAGAGAAGGGCGTTTCTTTTCCTGGATGTAGTAGATATCTAAATTGCAAATCCAATACAGGAAACTTGGAAGGTTACAATGATGTTGCATTTTCATGCTCAAACTGCTAGTGAGTGAAATACAAGTGATTGTTAAAACACAGGCATCATAGGATAGGCTAATGGGTTCTAATGGAATCTAATGGGCTCATTCCTCCCTTTATTGGAATAACCATAACTCACAGGAACATGGCACTTACATTTTCACAACCAGCAATGGAAAGTGATGAGTCCACAATTTAGTAAACAGTATGTGCAGTACAAATCTATCTTAAGATTTTACTTCGTTCTGTACTTTTAAACCACAACTTTCAAAACAGCAAAGCATATTTCTCATGCAGTGATACCATGTTGCATATTCTGACAAAATGTCAGGAGTTTTATATAAGACTGTATACTACTACAATTTTCAGGTGGTCATTTCATAGTCCTAGTAGATTTCATCTGTACAGCACAGAAGGAGATTAATTATAGTCAAAAGACTAAGTGTAGGTTTACTGAGCCATCTGAGCTTCCATTGCTTGTGCTGTCCATTCCGGTACTGTCTGACTAATCTTCTCCAGAAGGTTGTTAACTTGGAAACATAGTGACTGAATCTGTTTGTCCCATGTTGGCAGAGCTTCACGCGCTAAAAAAAAAAAAAAAAAAAAAAAATTTGCAAAAACAGACTGATTCTTTGCAATTCTGCTGTACTTTGACTAAAAGCATTTTTATTGTTATTTCACTTAATGATGTGACAAAAAAAGTATTGTCGTCTATTTACCACGTCTACAGTATAGTTATTTCTAAATTTAAAAGATTAAATGATTGGGGGTTGTACGTTACATAATTAGGTATTGCACCACAAAGTAAAAGTGGAGAATTTCCTACTCCCATGTATTTACAAGACTAAATTTTGCAGTCTGATATAGCTTTTGTATAGAGTCAATCACAAATTCTCTTAAATATTAGAAAAAAAGAGTAAAATATGACTTTAAGTAACAAGCAGACATAGCTGAACTGCTACCTACAATACAGACACTGCCATCTGCTGGCAATAGCAAGTCCGAGCACACTTGCTTGTAGTAGATCCTCATTTAAAAAAATATAACTTCCTCATGTTGTAGAGAACAGCTCAACCAATGTATTTTGAATTGCACCATGAAAAAGAAGGAAACCCTTACTTTCAAAATGAACTATTCCATCAATCTGATCGATAAATCCATTCATGCGACCCTCAGTTATCATCTGAGAAGCTATCTTTTCTGCCTGCAAAATAGGAATTAGAGAGAGAGAGAGAGATATCTGAGAATGATATTCATTTTGTTTCCAACATATTTATGAAGCTGCAAAATAATGCCTGACCTTTACACATCATCCCCCTCTACTTTATTGTTTAAGACTACGCATTATTGCCGCCCAACCTCTGGCCCAAAGAGAACTGGTGGACTCCCTTTGGCACCAATCAATGCTACTGCTTAATCCACTTCTTGTTGCTGCTGAGCGAAATTAAGTACTCTCCCTCTCTCCCCATTCCTCAAAATGGGTAAAATGTTTTGCATTCTGAACATGTTGGCCCTGTGATTGAAAGACTAGAGGCAGTGCAGAGTACTTAAGCACTGAAACTTGAAAAGCTGAACTTCTTAAAAGTTATAACCAAAAGTACTTGTTAATATCACTTTGCCAATGGAATTCATTTCTAGTATTCAAAAATTATCACACAGGAAACAAAGAAGATACCTTGGCTGCAGGGATCTCTAATAGTGCTCCAAGTTCTTCAAAGGTAATATTGTTGTATAGTTTGCTTGCAGATAATAAGTTGTGTTCAATAACAGCTCTGTCTAAGATACTGGACCCTTAGAGACGGAATAAAATGACACATCATTGTTAAGAATTTTCAAGGGACTTTTTCTTGCACTGTGAGTAAGAAAAATACTTTGGTAAAAATTTGTATGTACAGAGCATTGAAACATATCTGGTTTCCTTACAGCACTATTACTCCATACAAAAGTAAATGAGCAGTAAGACCCTAACAGTTTACATATCTGTTCAAAGAAAGCAACTTAGAAGAATGGCTTTAGTCTCTCTTGCTCAGTTCTAGGACATTCAAGTGGAGGTAGAATTGTGGTTAAGGTATTGGACTAGGACTTTGGAGCTCTGTGTTCATTTTCTGACTCTGATACAGGTTTCATGTATGACCTTAAAAATGAGTTAATCTGTGCCTCAGTTCTCCCCATCTGAGAAACGGGGATACTGCTGCTCTCCTTTCTTCTGCCTTTTGTCTCCACATTTTAACTCTTTAGGGTAGGGACTGCCTCTTCCTGTTTGTGCAGTACCTAGCACCTGATCTTACTCTACCACAATACAAATAGGTGACAGAATTAGCTATGATCCAGAGAGGGAGAGACACTGCAACAGTTAAACGGACATATTAATTAACAGGATGTTTTTCAGTTTTGGACCAGGCAGCATAAGCATAGAATGTAGCCAAAAAGGAGTTTTGGGTTCAAAAGATGCATGCAGCTTCTCTGGTAAGAGAAACGTTTTCTAACTTTTTTTCAGTTTGATTTTTTTCAAAGTATTTCTTTCTTGCTGTAGAGCAAGAGGTGTCCATAAAGGTAAGGCCTGCCTGGCACATGAAGTGTTTCATACTCTTCATGGACTTTGCACTTAACCACTCTAATCTAGAGAACACACTAATTTGAATTTAAGGCTCCACTGATGTCATTTAGTTTATGTAACATCATTTAGTAAATTCTAGCCTGAACTGTGTTACCAAAAGCTGCACAGCACTGATCAGAGAACGGTTTGGGAGGTAAGTGGCTGATGATTTTTAGTTTTTAGATCCATGTTATCTGGCAGCAGCTAGGAAAACAAACACTGAGACCTATCAAACTCACAAAACAAGAGATTTGTATAAGTCTGTAGAAAATAGATCATACTGTAAAAAAATGATGGGCATCATTTTACAAATATACTGAAGAACTGGAAAAGCTGAGAGGAGAAGGTCTCAGAAAATGAAGCAAGATTAGAAAAATTAGTTTTATATTCTTTAGAAAAAAGATTAAAATAGAAATTTACTGAGGTGTATAATCTAATGATGGATGGAGAAGCTGGATTCTAGAAAGCTCTTTTAAGAGATCAACCGGTTAAAACAGAGATAGAAATTGAATCTAAGACTGAGCACTAAAATACATTAAGGAGGGTAGAGTTCTAAAGGCAGCCACTTGGAGTATATACACATTTCTATGCATATACTAGGCAAATCTATACTGGATAAGTATTACTGTGCTTTAAAGAAGTCTGTACCATCAGCTGTCGTTGCCTTCTGATGTGGCATGAGCATGGCAGCAAACTCTTGCAGCTGATTCCCTCGGATAATCCTGTCTAGATACATTTTCTCCAAGATCCCGTAGGCTGCAAGCTGCTGACACCTTTCATCCTTGAAAAGAGTGGCTAACATGCGAGAGCGCTGCTGTCCTAGGAGAAATAACAAGAATCCCACAAAATGACCTCCTTAATAAATTCTGTAAATATCACTTTACTAAAACAGTGCTCATGAGAGAACAATGCTTTGAAGCTGTCATGTTCACTCCTATACCATTTCCAAGGGTAGGAGTGTATCATATAGAAAATACCTATAATAGAAAACTGTCAAGGCCTCTACTGTGCCCATCCTCATGGTGTCTAGACATCTAGTATTTCATTGCAATTAAAGGATGGTAGGTCTGCTCATGGAGAATACATGCCTACTTTAAATAAAGGCCTTAGAAAAAGGAACCATTGGCTCATTTCTGAAAAATCCTTCCTGCATTTCCCCCTTAGTTTGTCTCCAGGTATACTTTATGATCAGTGACTGAAAAAATTTCCTTAGATAATAATACCTACTGCAACCTTTTCCAAAGTGTTTTTTTAAAACAGCCTAAGCTTTTCCCACTTACTCGTTCTTTTGTGCATCCAAGTAAGATTATTTAACTTAGGCATGCAGAGAGAAAGATACTCAAAACTCGTAGTTATTGGCCTGCTATCAAACCCTCAACTTCTTACCTGTTTTCATACTTCTAGATTCCTCGCTACTACATCTTACAATGATGAGAGCTATACAAAAGGTTATGCTGAGATCAACTAAAGATTAACAATCCTTTTTTTATATGGAATATAAAAGGCCAGAAATACACAGAAATCTGTGACATTCATTTTACCTGCTGATGCTAGGATAGTACAATGCAAAGCATGCTTCAATGCCTCTAGTCTCTCACTTTCATGGACTATGCTCTTGTAAGAGAGCTCATTGTACCTTTGGGCAGCTTCAATGAACTTCCTTCTGTAATCAAGAACACGAGCGTAGCACACCTAAAGAGAGAATATGTTTCAGTAAGAAAAAAGCTAAATAGGAAAGTGACTGTACAGTGGAGATACACATTAGCCGCTGTATTACAAAGTGAGAGCATGGCTCCATAAGCATCACTTAAGCCTGCTGAGAAAAACACCATCATCTCGGGAAAGTTCTGCAAGAGCTTAAATAAAGTCTGCAGTTAGAGACTTGATATTCTGGCAATCCGTCCTCCAAAGACTGTTGTGAGATTTCTACAGAAACTGCAGAATCTTAATCTGAATGTGAAATTCATGAGTTATTACTGAGCATAATTATCTACATAAATGTTCATATCATAGGATTCCACAGTGCTTTACCAATTTAAACAAATATGGAATTATATATACTAATACCTGCCTCACAGTAGAGGTGCAGCTAA